CCCAAAGGCTCCAATTAGGTTGTTTTAACATATATATGTTAAAATAACATAGATATGTTAAATTAACATATTTCAAGCCAAATAAGTTATTTCTAGGATAACAAGTTGTTTTTTGATTTTAGGACAAAACAAGTTATTTTGAAATAACATAGTTCGTGTAAAATAAGTTATTTTTACTTTTCAGAAATAAGTTGTTTTCTTGCACGAATCAGCAAGTTTGCCTTTGAAAAAGGTGGTTTCCTGTGGCATGCTGTGGCAGTTCGGCTCAAGTTCGGCTCAATTCGGCTCAAGGTTGAGGTAAACATGCCGAAGAGGAAGGCGGCTCCATCGGAGCGAAGCAAGCTTGCCAACTACTTGGTTGGTCAGGTATGCTGGGGGCTCATGTCTGCAGTCCAAGCTCAGACGATCGCCCAGCTTGCCGTTGAGGATGCGGAGGAGGCTCCCAATGAGTTGAAACGGCTTGCCAAAGTGGGCAGCTCCGGCCAGTGCCCTGTCTAGCAAGTCAACTTCTCAAAGCCAGCTTGAGGCATGAAAGGCAAGAGGTCGATGATAGGTGGTTGCTAGCTGAGGTGTCCTCAGAACGTGTGGCGGGATCTCAAGCGATCTATGATTGCAGTGCATCTTCCGGAGCCGCAGGATGTCTTGATAGAGAATGAAGTCTACAAGATTCTATACCCACACGAGGTTCTGGCAAGCTTGTATCAGAATTACCGAGACATGTTCAATGCCATGTTTGATGTCACAGAAGCAGCTCGCTTCTGGGACGATGTGAAAAATACGAAGATGTTTCGTGAACATCCACTTTCTGGCCGGTCGGACCAGGCGAGAGCCTTGCCGATAGGCTTACATGGTGATGGTGCACCGGTGTCTGCAAAGGGGAAAACCTGGCAGAAAAGCGCAGACTTCCTGAGTTTTTCGTCGCTCATAGGAAGTGGAGCTCACAGGTTGCTGCACATCATCATCTCAGCTGTTTGGACTCTGGGCTTGTTTTTGGGTGTTTTGTTATTTTTTTTTTAAGGGGGGGGGGGCAGGACGGACAAACAAATGCACACTTGGCACCCTGCAGGTCGCAGTTTCTGGGCGAAAGCTTGGATGAAAAACGGCGGGTGATGCAGCAATACTGGAAGCATGTAGCTTGGAGCCTTCATGCCTGCTGGTTGGGGACCTGGCCTACTGAAGATCCGGAAGGCAATCCTTTGAGGAACCAGGCTGCAGGGAAACCTCTCGCTGGTGGTCTCTTCTTTGTCCTATGGGTGCTGCAAGCAGATTTGGAGTTTCAGCACAACTTCTGGGGGCTGCCCCATTGGACGAACAACCTGCCATGCAACCGTTGTGGATGCACAAGAGATGACTTCTTGAACTTCAATGGTCCTTGGGTGTCGAGCGGCTACGACAAAAAGACCTGGAATGCTCGATGCAAGGCTGCAAAGGTGTGTGCCCTGTTCGCTCTGGCGGGGTGTTGGGGTGGAACTGTCCAACCAGACCTTATGCATACGAAGTATCTGGGAGTCGACCAATATTTCTTGGCATCAGTGATATTTGTTTTGGCCCGAGTGAAGCAAATCCACAACTGGTTCGAGCTATTGGAAACATACTGGAAGGATCGTCAGGTGACTTCGCATTTCCGCAGCATGAAGGACTCCATGTGGGCACCAAAAGACCGGCAAGGCGAGACAGATTCTCGGCAGCAGGCTCCTGCTTAAGGTTTAGGAGTTCATAAATA